TAGTAGTAGTAGTAGTAGTAGTCGTAGTAGTAGTAGTAGTAGTAGTAGTAGTAGTAGTAGTAGTAGTAGTAGTAGTAGTAATAGGAGTAGTAGTAGTAGCAGCAGTCGTAGTCGTAGTCGTAAGTCGTAGTCGTAGTCGTAGTAGTAGGCGTCGTCGTCGACGTCGTCAGTAGTAGTCGTAGTAGTAATACATAACAAGAAAAAATTGAAGTAGTTAGTAAGTATAAGGTAGTAAAGTAGTAGAATTATAGTAGTCGTAGTCGTAGTCGTAGTCGTAGTCGTAGTAGTAGTAGTAGTAGTAGTAGTAGTAGTAGTCGTAGTAGTAGTAGTAGTAGTAGTAGTAGTAGTAGTAGTAGTAGTAGTAGTCGTAGTCGTAGTCGTAGTCGTAGTCGTAGTAGTAGTAGTAGTAGTAGTAGTAGTAGTAGTAGTAGTAGTAGTAGTAGTAATCGATGTTCATGACGTCCTTCCACATGTCTTCCCCTTGCGCTAGTTGTGCATCTGGGCGCAGCTGATGCCCCAGCGAGGCTTCGTTCCGCATCCGACTCTCCCTGTGGCAAAACTTAGTGCGGCATCCTGGTCTGCATGGAAACCACAGCGTGCAGTAGATATCGTGGATTGAAGTGGGCTCTCGACTGCATGGTGGGTGGTGTGCGGTTTCCTTCTCCCCCGGTTATGCGACCGCCTGCGAACCCTATCGTTAAGGGTCCGATCGACCAGACATCCCTCAAGTCCTGAACCACAGCAACTTTTTTAGAAAAGTGACCTGCAGGTGCAGGGTTCGCATGTGGTCCCCTATTGATGAAACTCAGTGGTCCCTTGTTTCAGTTCCGAAGGAGTATCCAGCTCATGAAGGACAAGGAGGTTCGAACAGCAATCGAGTAGGAAGAAACACACCGACACACATCTGTTTCGGGGGTCCGCGCGGATTTCTGCGGCCGGCGCCAGACCGAGGCGCGCCAGGGGCGGCTCCAGAGGAGGGGCCCAGCGCCAACCCAATAAGTCCGCGCGCGCTTCTCAAAGTTTTTGTCTAAGTCACCGGCACGAAGGTAAACGCGCTTCGCGCACCGCGGTCTGAGCCAGAGAGCTGCCCGTCTCCAGGGGGGGTCGGCGCGAAGCTGCGAAGATGAAAGCGCGTCGCGCATCGCGGGCCGCGATGCGCGGAATCAGGTGACTTGAGATTTGGAGGCCTGCTGAGGGTCTGAGGTGACCCAGCGCTGGTTCCGGCCAGCAGGAAGGGCAGACAGGTTCGAGGCGCTGGGTTTGGGAAGGCCTTTGTCTGTTTCGGCCTTCGGGGACCGTCAACAACGGATCTGGGGCAAAACATTGCACCAGATGGACCCTTGGAGGGGTCTAGGAACCGATTTCGAGCGGATCTGGCTTGACCCCCCCTCCTGGCCGATTTCCAGGGGTCCCCACCAGTTCAGACCCCCTGGCCGCTTCCAATCTAGGGCTCGTCCCCCCCAGACATGCGTCGTCTTGGTTTTTGTACGCGCGCGGTCCCCAGAGGCCCCAACCTTTTCAGGAGGGGAAAAAACACACAGACACAATGAATCGTTGATTCCCAGGAGAATTTAGGAAAACATGAACAGTGAGGGGGAAGACAAATATCCAGAACGCATGTAAACATTTGCGACATCTCTGGATTTGTGTCTATTTATTTGTGCTTCTGGGTCCCTTCACCTTTCCCCAGGGCCCGTCTTTCATCCCGAGCTTGGTTTTTGGCGATCCTGTGGCCCGGCTGGAGCCCCAACAGGCCGACACCAGCTAATAAAGCTTGCCGCCGTGACTGCTTCGCGACGCGAGCACGTCTTGGCACGTAGTCCAGGAGGAGGAGGAGGAGGAGGAGGAGGAGGAGGAGGAGGAGGAGGAGGAGGAGGAGGAGGAGGAGGAGGAGGAGTCTTTCTGCTGGGTGACCTGGTACTTGTCTGCGCTTCCAGAGGTTTTCGACGCCGCCGCGCTGCCCCTGGACGACTTCGCGCAGTCGCTCGGCCTCCCGTCGGCCCCGCCCGTGCCGGGACTGGGCGACGCGGGGCCGAAGACGCCCGTGCCCGCCTCGAGCGTCTGCTCGGCGGCTTGCGAGGGGGGGGGAGGGCAGGGCAGGGCAGGGCGCAGAGGGGGGGGGCAGGGCAGGGCAGAGAGGGGGGGGGACAGCGCCTGCTCGCCGGGGCAGGGCAGGGCAGAGAGACACTCCGGGTCGCAAGCAGACCCTTCCGGAGCTCTGCGCGCCGGCGGCTCGGGTCGGCGCGTGCCCCTCCGAGAGGCTCGTGCGGGCCGCCGCGCAGAGCGGGCGGCCCTCCGAGGGAGGCGCGGCGAGGCAGGGGCAGCAGCACGGGGCGGGGGGCTGGCTCGGGGAGGGGCCAGGCGCCGTCCCCGAGTGGCCCCCTCCTCGCAGGACGGGCTTGGCAGCCCACCCCGCCCAGGAACGCGCGCCTCGCCATCGGCGGCCGATCCGGCCGATGCATCGGCGACGTCTCGCCGACTCGAGCTCGACGTTTGCCGCTGTGAGCTGGTCCCTCTGTCCAGGCGGCTGGTCGGGGGTCTGCGCTGGATGGGCCCCCAGAAATCCGTCGAGACCCCCCCCGGGTCGAAACCTGCCAGGCTTTTGAGCGCTCGCGAGCCGCGTCCAGCCGTGGCGATGCGTGGGCCCCCTGCCTCCCGCCTTTCTGCTGGCAGGGGCTAGTGCTGGGCCGCCTCAGCCCCCCAGCCGGCTCCAACCCCTGAGCTGGTCCATCTCGTTCCGGATATAGCCAGGACCCTGGGTGAGGGGAGCCGGTTGGTGATGTTGGGCCTCAGGCCAACGAAATTTGGCCAGGATCATTAAGCCGAGTTTGCCGTAGTAGCTGTTTCTTCTGGTGACGGTAGTTCCGGTTTAGTGGGATGGGGCAGGGGGGAGGGCGTCCCCCGGTATTTATCGGCAAACCGGGTCCTTCGGCCACGCGCAGAGGGGGGCAGGGGAAGGGGGAAAGGCTTCTTAGAAGGAGGCTGGTTTTTAGAAGGCGCAGGCCTTGTCCATAGATGTAGGGCTGACGCCTTCTAAGAAGCAGCCTCCTCCTGAGAAGCCCCCTCCCCTTCTCCTCCCCCCCCTGTGCGCGCCCCCAAGGGGGGGCGCCCCCAGTACACATCACCGAACCAGGCCCGAGTAAACCCCGTCCTGCCAACGTCGTTCCCTCTCGGCAGAGGGCTTCCTGGGGGGCGAGCGGGGGGCCTTCGAGGGCCACTCTCCTCGCCTGCGCTCCGCCAGGCCACGGCCGCGTCTCTATTCTGTGCCCTCCTTCCCGATTCCTCGTCCTGGCTCCTCCTCCTCCTCCTCCTCCTCCTCCTCCTCCTCCTCCTCCTCCTCCTCTCCTCCTCCTCCTCCTCCTCCTCCTCCTCCTCCTGATCCTCCTCCTGATCCTCCTCCTCCTCCTCCTCTCCTCCTCCTTCTCCTCCTCCTCCTCCTCCTCCTCCTCCTCCTCCTCATCATCATCATCATCATCATCATCATCATCATCATCATCATCATCATCATCCTATTCTTCCTCCTGCTCCTCCTGAGAGCGCGGATGGCTGGTTTTCATCACCGCTGCCCGAGGCAAGGCGGGGGAAGACGCGGAGTCGAACCCGCTGAAGAAGCAGAAGAACAAGTCGGCGCTGCAGCGACTCAAGGATAAGATAAAGTCCAAGAAGCAGGCCGCCTGGGCAAACTGGCCGAACATCCTCCGACCTCGTCTGCTCTGACAGATCGACGAAGGGGGGATCGGGGGACGCCTTTTTTCATCCACCCGCACCGTCCCTGGACGGGACACTCTTGCGACCGCCCCCTGCCTTTTGGAATCGCCCATGTGGCCGAGCGTTGTGGCAAGAGCTCTGCCAAGCTATCGGACCACGTGCTTCCCCAGCCGTTGTGGAAACCCTTCGGGGAACACTCGGGAGAGGATGGCGGGGAAGATCAGGAGGAGGAGGAGGAGGAGGAGGAGGAGGAGGAGGAGGGAGGAGGAGGTGGAGGAGAAGGAGGAGGAGGAGGAGGAGGAGTAGGGGGTATCTTGGGAGCCTCTGGGGGCACTCTTGGGGCATTCTGGGAGCTTCCTGGGGGCCTCTTGGAGGCATCTTGGGGGCCTCCTTGGGCCTCTTGGGAACCTTTTGGGGCTTCTCGGGGCCCTCTTGGGGTGCTCCAAGGCCGTCTTGGGCCGTTACTCTTGTCCTCCTCCTTCTCGTCGTCGTCGTCGTCGTCGTTGTCGTCCTCCCCCTCCTCCTCCTCCTCCTCCTCCTCCTCCTCCTCCTCCTCCTCCTCTTCCGCCAGACACGCGACGTCTTGATGTTTGCAACACGCGGTCCCCAGAAGTCCCGACCCTTTTCCCGGGTCCTTTTTTCTTGGTATCCGGAATCTTTTCTGACGGGCCCGAGGTCCGGCGAGGGCCCCGGGAAGTCGAAGCCATAGAAAGAATTCGCGCCGCGATTTTGCACGAGGCGCGCATGTATGGGTCCCTTCCCTGCTTCCGACCCGATCTCGACTTCTGATATTCCAACCTACTTGAGCTCTGATCACCAGGAAGAAGTTCGAGCACCAGACAAGTACCGAAACTCGAGGGTTCTCACGCGTCGGGCCCTGGGGGACACTCGCCTGACACTGTTTCGACACTGTTTCGAGACTCTTTCGATACTTCTCTGTGGGCTCGAAATGGTTTCTGGGATGTGGCTCTTAAGTACGATGGGAGCAACTCAGGAGGGAAAAAACACACAGGCACAGTGAATCGTCGGTCCCCAGGAAAACATGGGGAAATACGGGCAGTGGAGGGAAGAAGACAGACACCCAGAAACTATGGGAAACCATGGGGAATCTTTTTATTCGTGCGTACCTATTTGTCATCACCCACCAAACCACCCCAACCCAACCCGAAGCCCTCAATTTGCCCTCCATTTCCAGTGGGGGGGGGTCGGGAAACGTTGAAAAAACATATGGTATCCGTACCCCCCCCAACCCGAAATTCGGGTCAAATTCGGGTCTTCGGGTTGGGTTGGGGTGGTCTGGTAGGTAGTCAATTTGTGTGTCCTCCTTCCGCAACCGCCCGGTTCGGGGCCCTCCTGCCGCTTCCGCGGCCCAGCAGAGGCGGCGGGGGCCGCCGGCGCGGCGCCCGGGGCGGCCCGCGCAGGGGCCGCCGGCCCCGCGGGCGACTCGGAGGAGGGCCAGACCAACATCACCATCATCCTCAACGTCATCACCATCATCATCATCATCATCATCATCATCATCATCATCATCATCATCATCCTCATCATCATCCTGGTCATTATCACCACCATAATCATCGTCATCATCATCATCATCATCATCATCATCATCATCATCATCATCATCATCACCCCATCATGACCATCATCAGCAGCAGCATCATCATCATCAGCATCAGCAACAGGCTCGCCGCGTCGCATTTCTCAAGCATCGGCCCGATCGAACGTCGGGGAGCGAGCAGCTCTAGGCCTGCCAGATGGGGTCCGAGCAGATTCGGGGGTGGGCAGAGGCCCCACCCTGACACGTCGATGAGTGTATTGTCCGTCTTCAGTTCTCGAGAGGGCGCCGCGGCCGTCATTTGCCAGGCTTGCGCCCAGCAGGTTTGGGCCCGAGGTCGTTTTCACGAAACCACGTTTTGCTAAAGAGGGTTCTGTCCATCCCTGGTCGATGGGGTCGGAGGATCGCGCCGCATCGCCGATGCATCGGCGATATGTCGGCGATGCAGTGGCGATGCGGCGCGATCCTTCGACCCCATCTACTCGGACCCCATAAACTCGGGGAGCAAACAATGACGTAAGCACAAGCTCGGGGGAGGCGCGCGGATTCCTCGGATCGGCGCTAGGGCTATCCTGGCTGCACTCAAATGTAGAAAATGTAGAAACTCAGGGGTGCGCGCGGATTCCTTGGATCGGCGCTGGGGCCCCCAACCGCTGGCGCCGCCCCTGGCGCGCTCCGCGCGCCATGGAGGGGGGCACCAGCGCAGATCCGAGGAATCCGCGCAGACCCTCGAGTGCTTTTGCTTATGCTATTGTTTCTTCCCCTAGGAATGGGCACGGAATGAGGACGGAAACCGACAACAGTTCTTCTCCATTTTGAACAGGAATCGCTGTAGGTGTCGCTGCAGGCGCTGGCCATTTAAGACAACCACTCGCCTGCTTAACAGCGGCCGCTGTCGGATTTGGACAACATTTGCTGTTGGTCATCATACCTATTTTTCCGCATCAGTTTCGGGCGTGCCAAATGCAGAGGAGAAGCCTGCTGATTTGCTTGTTGGCCCACCGAAGAATGTTCAAACACGTTTTTGTGTGGCTGTATGTTCCGAGAGTCCCATGCTTGATATTCGGGCATTGTTTTGTTTTCAGAACATGCCGTTCACCGCCCGCAAAACCACCCCCCCAACCCAACCCGAAGGCCCCAACTTGCCCTACATTCCCTGTGGGGTGGGCGTCGGGGAACATTGAAAAGACACATTTTGAACCCGTATTCCTCCCCTCAACCCGAAGTTTGGGCCTTCGGGTCGGGTTGGGGTGGTCTGGTAGACAGTCAGTCGTGGTAGGGCCTCTTAGGAAGATGCTGGGGCGGTCGGGTCGGTCCTTGCTCCAAGGGCGCCTCCTCCCAGACACTCCATGTCCGGAACAACATCAGGTCGTTTTTTTTTTTTTTGCTACAGTCGTCTTCGGCCGCTGGGTGCCCTCCCCAGGTCGCGGGGCCGTAAAAGCAGGTGCCTCGGACTGGAGAGCTGGCCCTCGGGGAGAGGGTCGGGGCTTCGGTTAAGTCGGGCCTGTCCCTCTACAAGGGGAATATTCAAAAATAGTACAAAAAATTAGTCAGGGGACTATTTTTGAGTTTTTTTCCATCTTTTGATGTTTTAAAAAATCTCGTCCGAAGTCCCCCTGTAGGGGGACAGGCCCGACCTAAGGCTTCGGAGACCGCGCACGGAACAGACCGGCCGCGCGCAGAGGGACCGCCAACGGGGTGCTCGGAGGCCCGCGCGGAGTTTTTGTTTGGGGGTCGGCGCTGGGCCCCCCCGACGGTCTACCTGGCATCGCTCGGACATGTGCATCCTGCCCGCCCCCGCCGTCGACCCCGCCCGCCCTTCCCGACGCCCCGCCGTTGTGACGGCCCCAGGCCCTGAACGGCCAGCAGCCCCCCCGGTGACCGCGGCGACCTCGTGAACCACGACGACCCACGACGGCCCGCGACCTCCTTCGACGCCACTCGCCCCCTCCGCCCCCCGCCCGCCCCTGCTGCCTTGCTGCCTTTGCTGCCCTCCCTCTCCTCCTGCATGTGGGCGCCTGCTAGGTGTGTTTTCCTTCCTTCCTTCTCCTCCTCCTCCTCCTCCTCCTCCTCCTCCTCCTCCTCCTCCTCATCCTCCTTTGAACCTGCCCAGCCTAGGGTGCTGGCTGGGCAAATGTGGGTTTTTAATGTTCGCGTCCGACTCGGAGACCAGGGTCAGGGGCTTACAGTGCTCGCTGGTTCTCGTGTGCAGGAGTCGGGCGGTGGCAGGGCCCGGTAAGTTTCACCTGGGCTTGCACGTGATAGTGACCCCTCGCCGGATCTTCCATGTGCATCTTTTCTCGGCGAGAACCATTGAGGAAGATCCTGGACCATCGAGCAGAAAAACACGCACGAAACCAAAAAAACATAGGGAATGTACGTCCGAGCGATGGCGAGTCCAGGCCTGGATGCGCCTGCTGGTTTGAGAGGGCGCTGCCGACTTCCCGGGCGATAGCTCGGCCAGTTGCATCGGGAGCCTTGAGACGGGGGTCAACACAGGCGGGGGTCAGCCAGGGCGCCAGATCCTGCAGGATCCTGCGGAGGCCCCCTCTGGCCGACCCGGGTCAGCGAGCCGCTCGTGGCCGCGAGGCGGCCGCGCATATGGGCTGACCCGGGGTTGCGCAGACCTGCGTTGCAGTTGTTTTTCCTGCATTGCAGTTTTTGGTTTCCTGCTGACCTGGGTCCTGGATTGACCCGGGTCAGAAGATCCCCGATTGCAGAGAGAGGGTGTGTGTCGGGGGCCCCCAAACGGTATGGTGACCACACCGTGCGGTGAGTCGGTGGGGGTTCGGGGTCACCGCACGGTTTTGGGACTCGGGTCGTTCTCCGAGGGCGTCTCGGGCGACAGGGGCCTCCAGGGTCCCAAGACCGTGCAAACACCGTGCGGTGAGGTCTTGCGGGATTTCGAGGTCACCGCACGGTCTGTCACCGCACCGTTCGGGACTCCAAAGTGTAAGTGTGTGTGTGTGTGTGTTTGTGTGTGTGTGTGTGTGTGTGTTTGTGTGTGCGAGAGAGAGAGGCTTCTTCGAGGCAGCCCTGCTTCTCTCAGAAGGCGCGGCCCTTGTCTGCCTTAATATGTGGGTGTAGGGCCAGCGCCCTCTGATAAGCAGCCTCCCTCCAAGAAGCCGTCCCTCCTCCCCCGGCCCTGAGATCGGGCCTGTCCCTCTACAGGGGGAATGTTCAAAATAGTAAAACAATAGTCTGGGGACGATATGTTTTCAAGTATTTATTTTGATTTTTTTTGTTGGGGGATTTTTAATCCAAAATCCCCCTGTAGGGGGACGTGCCCGACCTAACCCTGCCCCCATTAAAAACAGGGCGTCGACTGTCTGGGCTCGTCCCGCCGCCTCCTGGCCTTCCTCTTCTGCTCCCGGAGGTTTCCCAGCCTCGGGCTGATCGTTTTCTTTGCGCATGTTTGGGGTATGTTCGAATTGTTCCTCCAAGATCTACCTGTAGGGGGACGTGCCCGACCTAAGGTGACCCGACTTTTCCGGAACGGCCGCCCGAAGGCCACCCGCAACCCAGACCCCCCACCGTGTTGCAAGACTCCGTGCGGAGCTTCTTCGCCGTGACAGGGGACGCCGCGCGGTGACGGGCCGTGCTGTGAGGTCGCTGGGGGTGCCGAGGTCACCACGCGGTCTGTCACCGCAGCGTTTCTGGGATCCTCATCCGTCAAACGAGCGACTCGGGAAGGAAGGCTGGCTGAAAAAGGCCTCCGAGGGCACCGCGCTGAACAAACACCAAGGCATTGGACGTCTGGGCCGCGACTCGGAGCAGGTCGATGTGTGAACTGCGTCGCTTTGTCGACCAGGGAACCAATGGAACAAGCGAAGGAAATCGGTGCATAGACGTTCCAGCATCCCACAAGCTGGGGAGCTGGGGCGTCCATTCGCCGAGGTGATCAGGCTTCGGGCTGCGCACAGACAACCCCCCAAGGTTCAGTGCCGTTTTTAATACATGCTCCGCGTGCGGATCATGTATTAAAAATGCAGGGATTTAGTATTAAAAACAACGATGAGTTCATGCATACATTGATTCATACATTCATCATGTATAAAGAATCCGATGCTTTCAGAAATCCTATGTATCAAAGACTGCCCTGTAGTCCCAGCTGGCCTCAGCAGGTCCCCCAGCAGCCCAGGGCGGTCTCGACGCCCCTGCGCCGCCTCTGGCGGCGCGCCGGGGGGCGCCCCGCGCCGCAGGGCCGGGGTGCCGAGACCGCCTCGGTCTACACCTTAGGCGACGCTTAAGAAAACTTAAGTTTTCGGCCAGAGTCTCGATTATTCTTAATTTTTCAATGAAAATCCTAAGATTTCAATGGAAATGTTGGGTTTTTATTCAAGTTCTGAGACTATGAATTTCTTAACCCATGATTTCTTAAGCATTTCGCAAGGTGTACTGGATGGGGCCTGTTGCGGCCAGCTGTGACTGCCCTGGGGGGGGGCCGACTGTGCGCCGCCCGCAAGAGCTCTGCCGAGCTGGCACGTCCGTGGGCCGAGCTCCTGGGCCGACCGCGCGGCTCGTGGTGCACTTCGCGTCCCTCCTGGCGCCCGAAGCGCCGCCGGCCCGCCCCCGCCAGGAGGAGGAGGAGCTCGGGGGGAAGCCTGCCGCCAAGCGGAAGCCGGGCCGCTGGGAGCGCCGGCAGCGCCAGATCGAGCTGGCCAAGGCGCAGGGGTCGGAGGCGACGGTAGGGGTGAATAGCCCAGGGGAGAGCAATACATGTATTCAGGTGCGCCGATGATCTATGTCTTCGAAACGGCTCCCGGGCGAAAACGTGTTCCGCCCCTGGGCTATTCGCCCTTATCGTCGCCGCCGAAGGGGGGGCAGGGATGTCGGATTGGAGAGGGGTCGGTGGAGAGGGCCCAGGCATGCTCGCGTCGTGGAAAAGCACGACGAGAAGTCTTTCGCTGTTTTCGCTGTGCCCCGGGGCCGTCGAAGAACAGCTTCAGGATCAAAGAGTCGGCCGTCGGGGCTCTTTCGGGGGACCGCGTATTGAAAAAAAAAAAGATGTCGCATGTCTGGGGAGGGGAGGGGGGGTGGGGTCAGGGGCAACGTTTGGGGGGGATAGGCTCAGTGAGGGATGCATCGACCCCCAATCGTTGGCGGCGCAGGCAGGGGGGTAGGGGGAGGGGGAAAGGCCTCTAAGAAGCACCCCTGCTTCCTAGAAGGCGCGGGGGTCTTTTCTTTAGATGTAGGGCCAGGGACTTCTAAGAAGCAGACTCCTTCTAAGCAGCCTGCTCCCCCCCCTCTGCCCCCTTGTGCGCGCCACCCCCAATCGCCCATCCGTCACCGGCAGGAGCTCGATAGTCCACCCCGCCCAGGAGCGTGCGGATTCCCCGGGGCCTATCGCCGGTGTATCGGCGACGTGTCGCCGATGCCAGGTCGATGCCTCTCCCCTTATGCCAGTCCCTCTTGATCGTTGCCCCTCAAGAGCTGGGTCGGGGGAGGTGGTAAGGCTTCTCAGAAGCACCCCTGCTTCTTGGAAGGCGCGGGCCGTATCTGTAGATGTAAGGCGGGCGCCTTCTAAGGAGCAGCCCCCTTCTACGAAGCCTTCCCCCTCCCCCTGCCCCCTTGTGCGCGCCGCCAACAACGGTCGATGCTCCCCCCCCCCGGAACCAGGCCCCGACATAAAGTTGCCCAACGTGGGAGGGCAGGGGGAGGCCGGAGGAGTGAGGAGGGGGCGGGAAAGAAGAGGGAAGGCAAGCTGGGCGCGCTTGCGCTACATTTTTGTATTTTTAGGAGTGTCGTCCCCTGGGCTCTCCTGGATCTGGCCCACCCATCCTCACTCGCAAAACGCAAGACAATGTTTGCGCTATTCGTCTCAACACGGATGCTAGGCCGCCCATGCTGCAAAACGCGTGGCTGGATTGGGGCGGGGCGAGCATCCCGCACGGAGGGCCGACGCGTCGCTCTCGCCCAGCGCCGTGCCTTCCTCTTCTTCTTCTTTTGCAGAGCCGAGCTCCCCCGCGGCGCACATCCTGCGCACGCATTCTTCGCCGACGCGCGAGACTGCGGTGACAGTGACCTGGCCGGCCCATCGAGCACGCTCGTTCTCTGCTGTGCACGGGCATTGGCCCCCGTGAGGCGACGCGGAGATGTGCCCAGAGGGGGGGGGGGGCAGCAAAAACAGACTCGTCGACGCGCGAGGCGCGAGCCAAGGTGTGGCCCTCGCCCCCCGCCAAGGGGGTTTAAAACAGGGCTAGGATCGGGATAAATCGCTCCAGAGCGTTCCGGAGCGCTCTCAGAGCGTTTCGGAACGCTCTGGAGCGGCCGCGGCGCCCAGTACATCCTCCAAACCAGCCGACTCTCAGAGACTTCGAGTGATCCCGATCCGATTTTGCCCCGATCTTCGCGTCGTTTTACGGTGTTGCGCAGCACGCTGCCCCTCGCCCTTCGGGGGCGGGGGGGAGGGCCGCCCCGCGCGAGCGGCGGGCGACGTGCCGCCCCGGGGGCGGCGGCGCTCCCGCGCGGAGGGGCGCGCCGCGCACGGCCTCGCGCGCCGAGGCGCAGGAGCGCGGCGGCGGCAGCGGGGCCGCGCGGGGGGCGGGCGAGACGCCGACCCCCCATCCCCCCCCCCTCCTCCTGTCCTCCTTCTCCTCCTCCTCCTCCTCCTCCTCCTCCTCCTCCTCCTCCTCCCCCTCCTCCGACTCCTCCTACGACGCCCCATCCCCCCCCCCCCCCGCGCCATCCCCCTCGAGGCCCCGCCAACAATTACCCCCCCCCCCCCCCACCCAGTTGGGGATGCGCCCCTCGAGGCCCGGAGGGAGCGAGCGGCCTGCACCCCCTATCTAGGGCCCCCCTGTCTAGGGCCCCCGCCAAAAATTACCCCCCCCCATCATTTACAGATGAATAAAATAGATGTTAAAAAATGAAGCATTGGAGAAATAACAACAAATGATTTTCGAACAAAAGGTGAAATACAATGATTCACCCCACCCAGTTGGGGATGCGCCCCTGGAGGCCCGGAGGGAGCGAGCGGCCTGCATCCCCACCTGGGGGGGGGGCAGCTCGACCAGTGGGGCCCAGGCCACGCCGCTGGGGATGGGGATCGGCGAGGCGATGCTCGGCGGGAGCGGGCGAAACGTCGGCCTCCCCCGAAAACTCCGCGCAGTGTGCGGCTGCAAAGTGGCAGCGCCGTGCCAGCGCGGCGCACGCTCCGTCTCTTTGCCGCGCCCAGCGGGAGATCTGCCGCGCCCTCGCCCCTGCGCGGCCCGCGGGGGCTTCGCCAAGTCATTGGGAGCGGGCCCGCGCGCGAGGTCCTTCCGTCTGCGAGGTGGGGGGCGCGTTTCAATTCCAACATCAGTGTGTGCCTCGATTAGTTCTTCTGTCGTGGAGGAAGGGTGGGAGTGGGCGGGGCCCTCTGGACTCGCTCGACCTGGCTAACTTAATATGACACCCTATCCCTCCAAGCCATCTCCTCCCACTGCTCTGAATTTTATTCGTCCACGCGTGTCATAGCGGGCGTGGACCCCCCTCACGGACACCATCGCGTTATGCGCGATCAGACACATGAGCCGTGTACATGGGGGGAGGAGGGGGTGGCGGATGAGCAAGGACGAGGAGGAACATCAGCAGCATGAACAGGAGTACCACGAGCAGGAAGAGCGGGAGGATCAGGGGAAGGCGGGGGAGGAGAACGGAACGGGGCGACAACAAACGACGAGGAAAGACTCGGCTCAAGAACTGTGGCCCGTGCTGGTGCGAGAGCGTCATTGTGAACGATGGGAGTAGAGCGCCGATGCGACAATGATGCCAACGCTGCAGCGGGAGCACCACCTTGAAGCAACGATCACGTTCTGTTCGAGACAGCCATACGGAGAAAAACACATACGGGAGAGCAGTTGCCCCGCTCGGGCTGGATCCGGCGAGAAAGAAAGGAGAGGATTATTCACACTGTAATTGTCGCCAGGGGAGGGGAGGGGAAGGACGGGGGGGGGAGAGGAGGAAGTGGAGGAGGGGGATGAAGGGGAACGGCGCAGGGCGGAGCGGGGGGGGCAATGGGGAAGGGGGAGGGGAGCGGGAAGCAGGGGATGTGGAGCCCGAGGCGGGCGGAGGAGCTGGAGCAGGGTGAGGAGGTGGCACAGGTTGGAGCGCCATGCGGAGGGAGGAATGGCAGATCTGTGAGAGCGGGGGGGGGGGTAGTCAAAGGGGAGGGGAGTGCACTCGGCCAGCTTGCTACCACACCCTCGCTTTGCCCCAGTCTGCGGCCAGCCGCCAGCCTGCTCCGCCACTGCCTCGGGCCACTCCACCGCCTTGGCCCGCGACCGGTACGCGCCCAGCCCGTGCGCCTCTTGCCCCATCTCCGCAGACCTCTTGGCCCAAGGTCGTTCCTACCGCGACCCGCAAGAGTAATGCATATTTGTTTCTACCTCGTCTCTCTCTCTCTCTCTCTTTCTCTCTCTCTCTCTCTCGGAGGAGGAGGAGGAGGAGGAGAGAGAGGAGTGATGATGGTGATGCTGATGACGACGACGATGACGAGGAGCATGCTGATTATGAAGATGATGGTGCCGATGCTGATGCTGATGATGACGGTGGTGATGCTGCTGCTGCTGATGATGTTAATGCTGCTGCTGATGATGCTGCTGATGATGATGCTGCTGATGATGACGATGCTGATGACGATGATGCTGATGACGATGCTGCTGCTGCTGATGCTGATGCTGGTGCTGCTGATGACGATGATGATGATGCTGATGATGATGATGATGATGATGATGAGGAGGAGGAGGTTTAGGATGAGGATGAGGATGAGGATAAGGACAAGGACGAGGATGAGGATGAGGATGAGGAAGAGGATGATGCCGATGGCGATGGTGATGGTGACGACGATGATGACGACGACGATGATGATGGTGAGGATGATGATGATGCTGAGAATGATTATGCTGATGCCCATGCTGCTGAGGATGATGATACTGCTGCTGATGATGATGGTGATGGTGGTGATGATGATGATGATTTTGATGATGCTGATGCTGATGATGATGATGCTGATGATAATGCTGCTGATGATGATGATGGTGGTGATGGTGAGGGTGATGGTGATTGTGGTGGTGATACGGATGATGATAATGATGATGCTGGCGATGGTGATTATGATGATGATGATGATGGTGATGATGATGATGATGATGATGATGATGATGATGAGCAGGATGGGATGCTGTTGATGATGACGATGCCGATCATGATGATGATAATGATGATTATGATGCTGATGACGACGATGATGATTGTGATGGTGATGGTGATGGTGGTGGTGATGATGATGGTGATGATGGTGGTGATGATGATGATGATGATGATGATGATTATGATGGTGGTGGTGATGATGATGATGACGACGACGACGTCGAATTCTCATTTCTGAAGCTAACTGTTGTTGACCCCCGTCTCAGGTGTCCATTTGTGCTCGTTCAATTGAAGTGCCCCTCCCGGGGCTCGCACCCTGTGTTTTACACGGGAAAGTCTTGAGGCTCACATTGGGTTGTCGGCCCCCGCTTTACAATGTCAGCAATGATTTCAAGACTGGTCGCTCTGAGCAGCTAGCGTGCCATTGAACGCGTATCTAGTGACCTTCGGCGCAGCCCGCCACCGTGCCTGGGTTGTGGGTCAGAGTCCTTAGGGATGCTTCTTGAGGTCTCTTCGGAGCGCTCTCGAGGGCCTCTTCGGGGCAGGTTAGGGGTCTCTTTGGGAGCCTCTTGGGGGCCTCTTGGGAGCCTCTTGGGGGCCTA